CTGCAAGGATGAATAGGCATTACAATCGCCAGGACAGGAAATTCGGGAGCATGGATGAGAAAGGTAAAGGAATGAAGAGCGGCAGAGTGATGAAATAAAGGTCGCACAAGAGAATGGTGTACGATAAGCTCAACGTACGGTTGGGAATGATAGGGGATAATAGAGAAAGATAGGGTGTGCAAGATAATCGGTTGCCAAGGGTCGTACAGCAGCCACAAAACCGAATCTCGTGCAAACACGAAAATAGTAAGTCACAGCTTCCACAAGGTATCAGATGCACGCTTGTTACCAATTTTGCTAAAAGTCCATCACAAGTCCACAAGAATAAGAACTAACCAGGAAGGTCTTTCAGGGCGTGACAAGCTTTTTGAAAACGGTCTTTTGCATGATATAGGGGCAGATGCGGGAACCACAGAACCATGTTAATTTTTCCTGAACGGCCCTCTGAATACCAGAAAAGGGGGTCCCTAGTTCGATTCCTCTTGGTGACAAATTTTTGCATTTCGAGTTGACGTTCCAAAATTCGCGCAAAATGGAGTTCTGATTGTTCTGGTTGGTTCTAACTCCATTTTGCGCGAATTTTGGCACGTCAACTCGAAATGCAAAAATTTGTTACCACGAGGAATCGAACTAGGGACCCCTTTTCTGGTATTCAGAGGGCCGTTCAGGAAAAATTGAACATGGTTCTGTGGTTCCCGCATCTGCCCCTATATCATGCAAAAGACCGTTTTCAAAAAGCTTGTCACGCCCTGAAAGACCTTCCTGGTAAGTCCAGTGGAGGAGCGGAGGCTCTAACCACTACAGCACTATTTGTTCGAAGATAGCGATTCTTTCACTACAGCGACCAAGTTTCTTCAGAAATTTGGAGTATTCCAGTTTCGTGAGGTTGCAGAGATATGGCACTCAACAGACGACATGAAAGTATGCTCACAGTGAAGAAAAGAGAGAAGTAATGAATGTAGAAAGTTATTGAAGTTCATTTCTACAGACTGTATTCCCTGAAGTAGCCTCCAAGTCGAAGTGAGGCAAGCTTTCTAACTGCTTCTGTTGTTTCAAGAAAACCTTTTCATCGTCCGACAGCTCTTCCTTCAAATTCACCAAAGCGGTCAATATCTCCAATTTCCTGGCATGATGCTCCTTCTCCGTTATTTTTTGCATGCGCAGGTCGTTGTCCATCTGAAATGAGAATTTTCTTTTGCATTTGAGCGCCTCCCCTGGAATCAAGGGATGCGCTCAAACCTTCTACACGATATAAAAAAGGTGTGCTTTCTGCTTTCATAACACAACAAAAGTCACAACGCAAAACGCTCTACCTAAAAAATGCCCCACTTGGTTTATACGTTGGACCAACTGAGCAGTGCGGACCCATTTTTATGGATAAGAATGTGACTGCAAAATCTCAAAACCTGAGCCACCTATGTGACAAACAATTTACGACCTCACGCTGAACAGCACGAACCTATCATGCAAAAAGGCAAGATACAGCAAGATTTGGACGGTTATTCTGCGAAAGCAAAAGGTGGAGACTGGGGCTGATTGTAAAACTAGCTGCATGGCGACTCGGTAGTCAAGAGAAAAAGCAATTGAAATCATCGGGTACATCTTAACGAGGTCCTCTTTTGCCGACGATCTTTGTACGAATTAACAAAGAAGAACTGGCAAATGGCATAAGACCAGATGATGAAGTAATGGGCAGTTCGTGGGCGATAGAGAGAGAGAGCGGTAAGAGACAGAAATGCGTTCTCCAAGGGCCATATCCCATCCTTTCCCCCAGGGGGCGCGACCCTCGCTGCTGATTCTATTCCAAGCTTGGGGGAGACAGGGTTGCGTCATAGGACCCGCCATTGAACGCGTGATGTTGTAGCTACCCTCTCCTGTTAGACACTCTGATGGTCGCGCTGTCTGGAGTCTAGAAACGCAGAGTATGGCTGGCCCTACGACGCAACCCTGTCTCCCCCAACCATAGGATAGGATCAGCGGTGGGGACGCGTCCCCTAGGAGAAGGACAGGATACGGCCACAGTCTACGCGTCTGTTCTGACTTTTCCACAAAAACAGGAAGAGGAGAGGAAAATGAAAGTTCTTCCTCACGCGAATACTATTTACTGAAAGATGATCTCGACAACGTACCACTATAAGCTTCTGCCGCAATGCAGCCGGTTGCTTTCTCGCGAACAACGCCACTATTTCAGGCGTTCGAAATGCTTGGCTAATTGCAGCTCTGACAGCCTAAAGAAGTAAGCAAATCACTGAAGAAGACTCCATTTTACTAGGCGCACACGAATGCGAACGAAAATGAAAAGAAAGAGGTTGACTATTAGGTAGCGCTCGTAGCGTTGGGTGAGGATCAATGATAATTCATCTTGTCTCATGAGATAAACGACTACAAATGCAACACTCCTACAGTCAATCGCGCCCGTGGCGGGAGAGTTGTACAAATAGGTGAACCATAATAAATGCATATCAAACCACATCGCAATGAGTAGATCATAAAAGCTCACTCACCATTCGAGTAGCTGTGAGATTATCTATTACTGTGATGGTTCCTCCAGTCATTTTCTCCAGTGTTCGACTTAGATCCTGCATAAATTGCATCGATTCATTATCAATAATCGCGAAAGGAAGAACCGTTACTCTCATAAGGTACCCAAGCCACGCTAGATTACGCTAAGCAATGAATCACACTCGGCTGCGATCTAGAATTGAGAATAGTGTAATTTGTGAAAAAACTCTTTCAACCTACTGGTTGCCACAAAACGGTTAAGGACATATAAGAAATCCTGCGAATTGAACAACACGTCCTCTCAACATGCACTTTTACCCTCTAGCAGCCACCTGCATGTACAATATATGCCTACATCACTGGTTCTGCTGATTCGCTAAGTTTCAAGGCAGCTACATGTAAGAGGTATCACTCATAACAAAGTTTTTAATAAAAACATAAATCTTACTTGAAGTTGTTCCATTGTTTCCGACTTCAGTTCTTCGTATTCTTTGGCATCCATATTGGGCCTAAAGTCTGACTAGGAGAATTCACAGTTTGACGTAGCCGCAGCCAGGGCGAGAAAGAGAAGTGAACTGTGCGCTACCACCGAGGTACAGCTAATCTGGTAGGCTTCCGTGTTCCGAACTCGATACTACAAATCCTCAGAATTTTGTCGGAAAGAAAGGACATAGTGATTTTCGTCTCACTGTCCACGCGATATGCGTAATCAAACACCAAACAATAAAGAAGTCTGTAAAGGAAAACTCATTTTGTTTTTTAGTTTGCTTACCTCTCTTCCTCCAGATCAGACAGCTGATTCATCAGACGATCCAGTTGATTTTGCAGATTTCCCACAAGCACAGCGTCAGCCATGTCTGAAAAAAAACATATTGCAATACAGATCACAGTTAAATAAAACATTCTGTAGGATATAATATCTCATTCGAAATGCACAGCAATAGATGATAATCGCCAATGATTCTCGGATCGGCCCGCTTTAGACCGACGTCATAGTCGGCGACGGACCAAGCGATGGAGCGATCGCGATCGCTCCATCGCTTGTCCGTCGCTTGCCAATCGCTCTCGGTCGAGCGATTGGCAAGCGATTGCGCAATGTGCACAAGCGACGGGCGATTGGCCCCGCCCCCAGTCAAGGCCGGACGCATAGTCGGTCGGACGACAGCAACGACTGCAAGTGTCGCACAGCATTGGATGCGTATCGATCGTCGGACTTGCCTGAGTATTCGACGATTAGATGCAGTCAGACAGTCAGACAGTTGCGACCGTTGCTGTCGGACGACCGACTAGCGCGCCCAATCATGCGCGGTATCGATCGAGCAGAGCCATTGCCCGTCGCTTGTGCACTTTGCAAGCGATTGCGCAATCGCTTGCCAATCGCTCGACCGAGAGCGATTGGCAAGCGACGGACAAGCGATGGAGCGATCGCGATCGCTCCATCGCTTGTTCCGTCGCCGACTATGACGTCGGTCTAATAACAACTCACTAAAGAGTTGCGCGTTTTCAATGAAAAGGGAGTTCATCACAATACAGAAACAAGTTACTAGGGAAACAGCTATTACAGTACAATGAGATAATAAAGTTGAGAAGTAGAAGAAGTACGCAAATCGTCGACTACTAGAAAGCAGGCGACGAAATAATGCGTACACCCGTAATGCAGAATTGTTAAGCTACAGACATCCATAATAGGCACCTGTATAAAAATCGGAAACTCACGTAACGTAAACTTTAAGCTGCTTCTTCGTGTCTGTTTTTTCATCTTTATGTTTGGAGGCAGGTTTTAGGTGTAGTTAAATTTTTGTTCCTGTAGCCTATTGTGTACGAGCATTGATTGTTTTCGTTTCCTTTCCGAGATATTTGGATGATACCTTGCTGATTTCGACTCAGGTGTTTTATTTAAAGATTCATTGATTTATTCGTTATTGAAGATTTAGTGCGCCTTCCGAGGAGTGAGGCAAACTTTAGTTAGATCACAAGGGGTAGGCCTAACGGAGAGGGACAAATTTCGGACAAAAAGCGAACTGACCATGAACCTTGTATTCTCTGTTCTCCTCTAAGTAGTCCTAAAACTGAGCGTTCCGTGAATCTGACGCAGTGTTGCAGGTTGCTCTTTCCCCAGAGCTACACTGCGCCTAAATTCCATTTCACTGCAAGCTCATTTAATAGTGTAGAATGTTTGACGCTTTTTCTGAGAACTGTATACCAAAACACATACGTGTTGTAAATACAGAGTGCAATTAGATGTTTCTCGTATCCCTTCAAAATCAATGCTTCTCCCATTTTTTGGAACTCGTGTGTACTCGTTCTAACTGTTTGATGAAGAAATTCAAGTCAATTTAGGTCAACCATACTACTAATGCTCCCTACTATCCACCAGTTACTATAACTGTGTGACGTTAATTCCCAGCCTGCTAACATATGTTGTCCTATATTTTATGGTTTTCAGATTGTTCACCGTTTTTCGATAGTTGGCTGTGAACATTGACCACAAAACAACAATGTTTGCGGAATCATCTGTAAGTGGTTTTGCTATTTTCAGGACGTATCCTACAGGCTTTACTTCACGGCATTGTCGTTGAAATCGTTTGTTTCTAGCCGAAAATTAATGTATTCATGCAGGATTCCGAATCGGATGCTCCATCGGCTGCTAGAGATCAAAGATTGTCTGCACTCGCAAAGACGAAACATGAGGATTTGAAGGAGACCTTTGAAGAGGAGTATGACCATTATAAGGTGCATCTTTGAATTCTTTTTGTTTTGTTTTGCCATGCAGTTAATTTTGCTACTTACACATCGCAACTTCAGTTTTTCGAGCTCTGAGATTACTTAGTATAGTCTTCTATGGAGAGATTTCATTCTGAGCTGATTTTGATCGTGACTGTGACTTGACAGAGCTTCTTGTCACACTGAAGATCTGGCCACAGTGATTCTCTTAACCTCTCCTTTTTTTACCGATCTAAGGGAGTTGGCCTAGCTGCTGCATGAGAATTGATAGTTGGTGAAATAGTTAACAAGGCTGACGAACTTCACAGTACCTTGAGATCGCCTTCGGCAGCGCGAATCACGTCAGCATGATGACAGTAGACAGCAAAAAAAGGAAATTGTGCAGCAACTAGCTGCACAATAAAAAGAAACCAAAATGGAAGAAGAAAGCCTCTAAAAAAAAAGTTTTCCTTGTGTGAACGATGAACGCCTAACATACAGCTTTTAGGCGGCGCTGTGTTCTAAATAAACGCTACAAAAAGGACTAAATATATATAAAAAAATCGCTGCACGGAAATGCCCTCTTTTTTTCTGTCGATATTGTTTTTCTGTTCCCAGGAAAAAGCAGCATGATAATATGTCCGCTGCCCAGCGATCTATCAGATTCCTCTACGGAGGACTCTGAGCCTCCGCCAGCGAAAGTCGTTGCCACTGATTCGAAGCCAATGTCAAATGCGGAGAGAATGATGGCAAAGATGGGTTACAAAGAAGGAAAAGGTTTAGGAAAGACAAAGCAAGGTGCGTTGCAGTCCTTGTTAAGAACCTTAACTGTAAAATTCTTGATTTTTAACTGTACTCAGCTCATCGACTCCATTGTAAGTTCTTATCGTTTAGGAGCTGTTGAACCGGTTGCTTTGTCTACTCAACGTGGTCGAGTTGGTCTTGGCCACAACATTACCAAGGTAAGATATTCTTTCTGTCCGCTGTGTATGAAACACCGGTATATTTCGAACCACGCATGAACATTAGACAGTCGGCCGTGACTTTTTGGAAACCTGGGATGAGTCCAAAGAGGACAAGACCATAGAAGAACATGTGCGTTGGATGCCAGGGTGTCCTGAAAGTACACGTGATTGGGTTGTCGATTATCTTGAGGGCTCAAATGGATCAGATCGAGAATAAGTCGTTCCATTGTACATTCGCTTTTTCAATATAAAAATTGTTCAGCCTTACGTAGCTTAAAAATCATGCACTCCAGCCACCGTCACTCTTTGCATTCATCAAATCCTGGGAGCAGCTCGAATCCCTACTCCACTCCTCGTGGAGAGCTCTTCGTTTTACCCATATCCATCGACTTCTAAAACTACTTGTCACAGTTTAAGCTGATAAGCTAGAAGCGCAGCGAACACTGTGAGCCCATTCCTTCAACACCTCAAAAATTCACGACTGGATGCGGCGGAAAGGGCTAGAGTGATGGTCTGCTGAAACCGAAAAAATAGCGATTTCCTTTCATAATTCTGTTGAATCCATGAAGTTTCCAACATCTCAATATAATGTTATGTCTTCCAAAGACTCCTATTCCCCAGAACTATTATGAGGCTGGCTCGTTTGAAGCATCATGAATGCTTTCCTTGATATTGTGATAATTGTTTTGTACCTTTCGGCCCACTATTTGAAAATTTTCGTATTTTCTGTATAACTTCGTATAATGTATGCTAGTCGCGCAAGAAGTTTCCTCATTGGCCGATGTCAGAGTCTGCGATTGGAGCGATCGGTCAAATGCCAATCGCGCGACCATCGCGCGATTCGCGCGACGATCGCGCGATTGACATGAGTCCCATCATGACCAATCGCTCCAATCGCGCGATGGGCGCGATCACTCCCGTTGTGGCAGGGAGCGATCAATAGCTGGCGCGCCCCCTTTGATCAATACGTTGCCTGCCACAACGGGAGTGATCGCGCCCATCGCGCGATTGGAGCGATTGGTCATGATGGGACTCATGTCAATCGCGCGATCGTCGCGCGAATCGCGCGATGGTCGCGCGATTGGCATTTGACCGATCGCTCCAATCGCAGACTCTGACATCGGCCATAGAAAACATTAAATCGGCCAATTCCGACCGATATTTACTGAATACCTTTTTTTAGAAAAATAACCCAATTGACGTACGAAACACACTTGCGACCCCTGGTGAAATTCTGCGAAGAATGCTTGAATCGAAAAATGTATGTTTCTCACCATACTCCATTATTATTTCACTTGCACAGCTGAATTTGTAGGTGTTCGATGTGGTTCCGGACAGGGATCTTCGAGAAGCACGAGCACGAGCAATCCATATGAAACGATTGGGGCGGCGTTCTTTCAAAATCGAGCCGCTATGAAAGTAGCGAATCTGGATAGAACTTTTAATTTTCTATTCAGTGGGGAAACCCGTAATAAGACTCGGTATCTTATCGCATAATTCGAATTATACTCAAACGTATTTATAACCATAACTTGAACATACGTTTATTGTCGTGTTTGCTTGTGGTCGGCTTACGGCCTACGGCAAATATAATTTGCAGAGTGCGACCATTTTGTGTTCTGCTTTAAAGATTGTTATTAGCTTTGACCTACATTCGCCGTGCCCTACGTATTCATTTTTATAGTCTATTTTGAAAGAGTATGTAGGAATGGGTTTGGGCCCTGTTCAACAAAATATATTATCCTGTTTCCCGCGTTTTGCCCTTTCGCGTTTTGGAAATTTAGTTGAGGCATGCGAAAGCCATCGCATACCTCTCGTAGGTCCTATCTTAAATCGTACCTTGAAAGAGGTATGGTTGGCAGCATTATTTGGATATTTTGGAAGGGGATTCGCCCGTCCCTAACCGGATCTGAAGGCTATCGCTAAGCTGCAAACATTTTGTGACCTTTAAAGATTCCATTGAAATTCGAATTTCCACGAAAAATTTCCGCTTCTAGTTTTCTTTTCGCCGAAACAGCATAACTATTCTATCCCCTTCCGGCTTCATATTGCAAAGTCAGTACAGTTTCGAAAAGGCCGAGTCAACTCTGCGATTGAGCGATCGTCAAAATGTCCCATCGCGCCCACCATCGCGCGATCGCGCGACCATCGCCCGATTCGCGCGACGATCGCGCGATTGACATGACTCCCATCATGACCAATCGCTCCAATCGCGCGATGGGCGCGATCACTCCCGTTGTGGCAGCAACGTATCGATCGAAGGGGGCGCGCCAGCTATTGATCGCTCCCTGCCACAACGGGAGTGATCGCGCCCATCGCGCGATTGGAGCGATTGGTCATGATGGGACTCATGTCAATCGCGCGATCGTCGCGCGAATCGCGCGATGGTCGCGCGATTGGCATTTGACCGATCGCTCCAATCGCAGACTCTGACATCGGCCATACGAAACGCGGAGAGCAACACCTAGAGACGTGAAGTCAGTGTGGGTATCAGCTGGAATAGAGTAACCTTGGAAGCGCAACGAGCGTCGCCGTACATGCTTCCTGCATACCGTGCACTTCCTGAGCAAGTTCTGCTTATTTTTCCACTCTTCAAAGGGGAATATACGCGACCACATGTGGACAAAAATGTCCGCTATGTAGTTCATTTCGAAGCGAATCACAAAATTGGCTCCCCTCTTTGTACCTATACTTTTTGCTGAAGCTATATAAATATTGTAATTTCGCATGCATCGGATTCTAAAGTTTCGTCTCACCGGGAACGTAGTGAGCTGTCTATTGTCACTGTTGACGACAGGCACATTCAACTTATTGAACAATTGTTTTGCATCCGGCTGTGTAGAACGATGAAGATACCGTTTTTAGAGTAAAAATCCTCTCAAATCGGAGCGACCTACAATAATGCGATCGAGAGGCACCTCTTTTCTACTTTGCCGACGTCTGCGCTGGTCCTGGTGGATTTTCAGAGTATATGCTATGGCGAAAGGCTTTCTACAATGTGAAAGGTTTTGGGTTCACTCTCAAAGGTACGTTGGTTTTTTGCCAGCTATCTCCTTCTGTGCTACATTCATATAAATTTATTCGTGTAACGTGAACTTCTTGTAAAGGAAAGGACGATTTCAAACTTGGGAAGTTCTACGCTTCTTCTGCTCACTATTTTGAGCCGTATTACGGGAAGGAAGGAGATGGTGACGTGACGAAACCAGAGAATATCAACTCTTTAGAAGAGTTCATTATGAAAGGTGAGAAATTGATAGAACTGCTTCAGCTCCTTCTTCGAGCATTTGATGTTTCAAGGAACTAATGATGTTGGCGTTGATCTCATGATGGCCGATGGTGGCTTCAGTTCCGAGGCCAAGAAAATATTCAGTGTATCGTGAAGTTATTACGAAATGTAGCAGTAGATTTAGATATGACATCTGAGAGATAGAGAATGGGAGAGAGACGAGGAGGAAAGGGATAACGATTATCTGAAACCCTGCAAAAATGTTCATGGCATGACTTCAGACAAAATTACTGTTCTTGTTTTTACTGGCTCATCTGGCACCGAGGCCGTGATTGCGCTACCAATATCACCCCTAGAAGTAAGACCGCGAGAAGTGCGGTTTCCGATCTCGCTTATGCAAAATTCTTTTGCTTGCGTGTGTGTGGTCCCTTTCGCATTCCGAACCGAAAAACAGTAACAAAAACAAAAGCAAATGAAGGTGTTCTCTTGATTGCCTTCAATAAAAGGAGACCATCCTATCATAGGTAAGTCATACTTCTCGTACGATTACTCCATGCTTCTGTTCACCTGCCTCTCCTAATAAAGTTCGGGAAATGAGATAGGCATTCAACAAATCGTGAAAGTAGAAAACTTTTTGCTGAACTGGAGCTGTCAAAGTATCTTTGGTGCACGTCGTTCGCAGTAACTCTCAATTTGGTTGGTAAAGTAAATTAACTAATAAAGCGACAGCACCAAAAAAATCATATGCCCGTATCAGAAGTGATTAGTGTAACGCATGCACTGCTACTCAGTGGCTTAAAGAAAAGGGTGAAGCAATGCGTTTTTATATGGAGCAGTGCAACGAAACAGGTACAAATTAAGTCATCCGAAGAAAAGAAATACGCTAAAATCAGCAGAGTGTTAGCAGACAGAGAAGAGAATTATAAGCGGAAAGAACACGGAAGATTGGAGAATTACCCATGGAGTTATAACAAAGGAGTGCAGCCATTGGGGCTAGAGCATTATCTCATTGTAATGAATTAGCCGAAGTACCGGCCATCCTCTGCGAAGCCAAATTTTCTCAGGAAATTTATCGAAACGTAATACATTTGCTGCAGTATTGGTTCACTTGCATGTTCGAGCAAGAGGATATTCTTTGCAAACTGTCGACTTTTTCACGTCACATTCACGGTGAAAATTTCTGCTCGATTAATCGCATATGCATATTATGTTTGCTCTTTTCACGTGTTTCATAACCTCATTCGTTGAGCCTTACTCGGCACCTTGCCCAACACTGTGTGTGTTATTGCGCATTATTGAAGCAGTTGTGTGATACGCAATAAAGGCCAACACAATAGCCAGTAACAAGAACTAACAAGCACAGCTATCACACCTTATTGCACGGGCGGAAAATGCAGCTTCCCCATTGGTCGGCCCGGTAGCAACACAGCAAGGAGGTGGGGCCGACAAATCAGAAGACAACGATCTCTTTTCATACCGTCGTCGTGCAAATACGCTTATGAGGGTGCTACAGTTCGGCGTGCTCGATCCATAGTTGCCTCGTTTACGCACTATTTCATTATAGTGGCGGATCTTCCAGTGACGCACATCTCGATCTTACACCTAATCTTCAACCTAAATAACCTCGTTCATTGTAGTCGGGTGATATACTTGATGTATATACTCATATGATCAAATTTCACTGCACAAGCCTCATACAAGCCGTCCAGCAAATTCAGAAAGGTTGTGTCTTTTTATTTGAATCTTCTCTCGTCGTTGTGGTGTATTTTCTTGTTTAGGTACATAATTTGTAAGGGATTGCGGAAGAATTACTCGATCGTGCGGATATTTACAAACGGGTAGCAGTTCAAATCCATCTATCCATTCTGATTGTGTAACAATTTCGATTTTTTGGAAACTAGAAGAGCCACAAAACTTTCAGGGTAATGTCCAATGGAATGAGTGTTTCGAAGGCCAAGTCTCGTCAAAGACGTGCTTGCGTTGTCCACTAGAAAACGCCTGGCGGAGTGATGAAGAGTTTCAAATACCGTCGTAATAACTTCGTATAGCATACATTATACGAAGTTATACGATATCTTATAGTTCAATGTGGGAAGAGTTACTACCGGAGCCCATTACATTTGAGGTTAGCCGAACGTCAGTCGACATATTTGCAGAAATATTTGAGTTTTGCCAAGAAACCGCTTCACTGGATTGACAAGACCGCGGCCACGTAGAGCTAATTTCAAGTATTCAGGTATATCTTCTTTTTCGTTTTAAATGATGTTTATAGGGCATACTTCGAGAAGATTGCTCAAACATTGGTTGGTTCCTAACAAGACGTTAGACCGAAGAGAACGAGGTGCGGAACGCCAACAAATAGATCCTGATCAGTACTTTGGGAGATTCACGAGAAAGGTATGGATGGCAGATCTTTCTTTCCCTTCGCTTGCCCACCTCAGGCTGTTCGTGTTTAAAGGCAGCGATTACGATAAAGTGGGAGCGCATCGGGAAGCATATGCACCACACGAATCAGTTACTTGGCTGCCAGGGAAGCGAGTGTAGCGCTTTCACGACGAAAGGTGCGCTGGTTGCTGAGCAGGACTTCGAAAGCACTCCGCCCCCAAAAGCGATCCGCCCACTAGTTTAGTTGGTGATTTGGACGAGCTGGGCTCCCAGACAATACCTAACCATTTGGGCGCGGCCGCGGCGAACGCGGCCGAGTTGATAGGTGCCCGCGAACTCAGCACAGCACAGTTCGCGGGCACCTCGAGTGCGCCCAAATGGTTAGGTATTGTCTGGGAGCCGCAGCGTTGCCAGGCAACTGGAGCAACTCGATTGGAGTGTGGTTTGGCATGGTGTTACCAAACGCGTTGCGCTGAACTCGTTCATACGTCCGCTTTCTGAGCTGTTCACCTGTTCATGAGTGAAAACCAACGGCCAAAAAAGGGGTCCCGTTTTGCGTTTTTTTGACGGATTTCTCCGCTTTTTTCGCCACCGACGTACCATTGAGCACCACCACGTCTCCTCTAAACCTTCTTGAACCTATCGTAACCGCTGCCTTTAAGGCTTTAGGAGCTTATTGTTCGGTGATTCAGCTGAAAAATTGGATATGTATTCCCAAACGTTGAGTATGAACGCATCCTGACGGTTTATATGGGGCGAGTGGTCCAGAAGTATGACCCTGGCAGTGTGTCACGGAATCTAATTCAGGGCGCCACCTAGCGTATCAAGTGCACATGCGAATCTTATCAATCTCTAATGGTTTCAGTTCTATGGTCGCGAAGACTTCAGTGCGAGGCTACCACCGTTCGCTGCTACGCTGCTCAGTGAACGAACAATAAAAGAGCTCAGATATGCTGAGTTTTCCCTCAACATACTCTCAAATCGAGCTTCAACACAGCCCGAACTTTTGATCTCAACTGGGGTATGTTGAGTTGAGAAAAGATTCTGTGTATTTTCTCACAGTAATCAAATCTGTGTCATTAAGGACGCTGTTTTTGTATGGAGGAAACACTGGGAAAAAATGGAAAACAATTTGATGCGAATTCCTGACCGAACCGTTTTACTGGTGGAAAGAGCGACGACCTATAAATTGGCAAGTTAATTGGGTTTTGAGGTTCTGCGGTCTCTCAATGAGCCCGCTTTGAATTTTTATGTCTACAGGTGGATAACAAGCGTCTGGAAACTGTTGCTGTCGATGGCCTCGTTCGGATTCTCGATGCTGCTGTACTTAATGGTGATGATGTTTCGGGTTTGTTGTATTCAAAGAGAATGGCTGCAGCTCAAAAATTCTGCCTGGCACTGAAATTGGTAAGTTAGGCATTTGTATGAAATTGATAGTTTCACCAAATATGTGCTTCGAACCTAGATCGTGCCCAAGGTCAGACTGGGTTGGGGAAATCATGAACGATATGTGGTTCCTCCTCAACTGGTAGTGGCAGGAGCGTACTCGTTTGATCAGTTGGCTCAGGTGAGTTGTACCTCCGTGGTTATCAGTGCTACTGGGAAGAATAGTATTATTGTGAAGGTTCGAAGAAAGTTCTCTCGGGTGCGTCATTCTGGTGAAGAAGTTTTGGTCTACGACGAGAACGGTTACTTGTTAATGTGTAAGGCGTTCCGAGTTGCACGCCTTCTGAAAGGTTTGAGATTCTCGGGTATAATTTTGGAGCAGACAGAGAGACTAGATGTATTGCAGAAGCGTGGAAAATGGGATGGTCGTGTAGCCGTTCAATGACATATGCTTTCTGCCCCCAGCGACCTGATCTTGGCAGTTTCTTCGAACCCCAGTGGGAAGAGTACGTTTTAATTATTCATTTTAGAACAACGCCTTGCTTATACTGTTTTCATTGAGGATTCTGCGCTTGGTTATTTGTTAGATTTATTATTGGATATTTTTAATATTAATTTTTTTATATTTCTATTCTTACCCTCGTAACGTCTTTTTCCAACTTGGACACCTCGAGCTGCGAAAACATGGTGTATTGTATTCCACATTACTGTCTCATATAGCCTACTTCAAACGATTACTGAATCCATGCAAACCTGAGAATCAAACCGCAGGAAAAAACTGTTCGTCTCAACTCAGTCCATCAGTTCACGTACTTGATTTCTCCCTCCCCCCGCATCGTTGAGACCATGAGCGCGTCTGAAATCCTTGAAACAACCTGTGATGGGAGCTGATCTCCATGCCATTCCTTATCGTAATATTAGCACTGATTGGTTTGTCTCACCTGAACCTAGGTGTTGGCCTGAGCGGGTTCCTATTCATAAACATAACTGGTTTAACTCCGCCCCGCCAGTGCGAAAATGAGGGGAAATAGAGATTGGAGAGGAAGTAGGGCTATTTACCTTGCAAGACTGCACTTGGCAAACTCGTTATTCCTTTTTTGTTAAGGCATGAATGTTGTTCATCGTTTTGGGAGAGCGCAATGCCATCAAAACAAACGACAGGGCATGTCCCAATGCAGTGCATATGGAGTTGGGAGAATAGCTGTAAGTGTAGCCATACTCAAAAATGTCGGGGTTCTTATTCGAGTGGTCCATATTTCAGTACTGGACAACTATGGGCCTCGTGTAATCCTTGAGAATGACTCGCACAAGAGCGGACCGACCGTGAACTCAGTACTGCGAGAAGTGGCAGAAACAGATGAGCAATGTCGGAAAAGTGTGGCTGCTTAATCCGACTCTGTAAACTGATGAAATTGGATGTTTGTTGAATTTATATCTTTGCATCTTTTCAGTTCATATTTCCTCTGTATTGATTGTTGCATTCAGCCACCAGATGGCTTCTATTGATCTTTTTAATAGCACTTCAGTCATTTTATTTTGTTGTTACATGCTAAGATCGTAAACATCGGGTATTCCTGTATGGTACTAATTTCATGCCATTTTCGTATTTTCCCTTTGTTTTTGGAGAAAATTATGTAAGTAATTGTAGGATAGATTCGGCTGGATCTTTAACACTTTTCCTAATGTCTATTTGCGCTTTCTGTGCGAGACTTCTCAAGGGATAAAGTAATTTATTTTTGTTTAGCACAGAACAAAAGATGGCGCAGATGTCGGAGCTACCGTTCAACGGATTTTTATGGAATATAAACTTGTTTTAAAGGCATGCCCCAGGATCGCATTGGTGTGGCTCTTGCACACGAATGCGAATGTATTGGTGCGAAATGGGCCGGCAGTAAAGAAAAAAGGAAAAGAATCCGTCGAAAACGCTTAGGTTAAGGGCTCACTCACCTTCCTAATCGGCTGTGCTAAGGAATGAGAGACTGCGCGAGGAGAGTATGAGGCGAGAGAGCGCAACAGATGAGAGGGCGCCAGACAACAGCCTGAAAACATTGCAGCTGCTGCAGCTTACTTTGCAAGGCCCTAGCGCTCTTGTCGGGTGATTTCCATGCACGGGAAGTGCCACATTTGTGATTGTCCTCCAGGGGTCTATCTTACAAACCGTGGGGAATCGTTCACACGACAGCGTGAGTTGTGCCTTTAAATGTTCTGATAATACAGCGATCGATACGAGTTGATGTGCATCGATAGCGTAACAGGTATGCGGTCCATTCCGTGTTGCCGTGGCAGAGGGTTCGAATCCACACACTCACCTGTTTTGCGCTTACTCGAAAATACCCCTTGCACATTTGGGAAGCAGTTTTGCACCAAAAAAGCCAGCTTCATCTGACCAAAATTTTGACTTGACGAAAAAAAATGCAGCCATTTCGACGGATCCAGTCACGAATATTTTTGGTCCCCAATTTCATTTTTCATGGACTTTATACAAATGTATGTATATTCAAAATGTATGTATATTCACAGTTGATGTACATACCCTCCCCTTTAACCCTTAGACTACGACTTTTTTAGAAACAAGTTATCGATGTGTTTTGTGTAGTAACAGTCGCTCCTAGCAACAACTAATCATCTGTAGAAATTTGGCTGACGCGCGCTGGGTTTGGGC